CAGTATCAGAAAAAAGTGAATATTGAATTTTTTCTAATCCTAAAACCATAGTTAGTATCAGAAAATTCTGATCTTTGATGTTCTAGGTAGGTAGGTAGGTAGGTAGGTAGGTAGGTAGGTAGGTAGGTAGGTAGGTAGGTAGGTAGGTAGGTCGGTACTCATGGTTGAAAACGGCTGGCTGGTCGCCCACTGGTCGCGTCGCGATCATCGCTTCTTAGTTCATGAGGCCGTTGTTGTCACCCTTGGTGCTTGCTGTCGGCGGCTCCTTGTTCGTGAACCATTGGCTCTCATGCATGCATGACTTAATAGCAGAGTAGACCTTTTAGCCCTTTTGGAGCACTATAATCCCTTTCGAACCCCAATATGCTCCGAATGGTGAATCTTTAATCTTTAGTTCCCAAGCCTTTGGCCTCAGACGAACCTCGGGTGAGACAAAGACCTATCTTCGGGGTTGAGGCCGACGGTTTAGTGGTGTTTAGAGGCTGCCCATGGCTGCCCTAAAGTTTGCGGTTTATGGTTATCAGTGATCTGGCTCACCCTTCCTGCAAACCACGCCTGTTCCTGCTCTTTTTTCCTGGCAACCTGCACATTCAAAGCAGGTGCGATGAAGCCATAAGAACACGTAGGCAGTGCCTAGAAATCGAAAACCCCTGAACCCTACACCCTATAACACTTAAAGTCAGGGAGCAGGCTCCTTGTTCGGGGTTTTGCCTTTTTTTTCTCGTGTTTGGTGTCTCTAGTGTCGATCCTTCTTTTTTGTTCAGAAGCTTCCGGACGTCGGCTTGCATGCTTGCTGCTTTCTAAGCTCGTGCCGGTGCCAGGGTGGGGCGTCAAAACAGCATGCTTCAGACTTCTGTAAGGCCGTAACGTGTTCTAGCGCAGTGTTAAGGATGTGTTAATCTTGCGGTCGACCCGTGCCTCTGCTCATCTGGACGTGGCTTTAAAGGGTGTGGTGACGGGAGCAGCTGTCAAAGCCCAAGCTGGTGAAGAAGTTATGCACTTGTTTCAGGTCTCGCTGGCCTGGGATTGGAAGATGCGCGTCTTCAATTGGCTTTCAGCATATAACATAAGTAGCTCATAACCATGCAGGTAGCTGCTCGGGTGTGCCATATGCGATGACCGTGAGCGGTCTTGTGTTGGAATCATTAGAACATGACTGTTTCCTGCTCGGTGGGTTCTTGGATTAGTGCGGTCTTGTGTTGGATCTGGCGTAACCGCAGGCCAGTCTGATGCACAATGCTTCTTGGCCTCTTCGTAGCCGCCCTTTCGTGTGGTGTGCTTAGGGTTCAGGGGGTGAGGCCCCGTCCAAGAACACAGATCCATGCTTTGGGCATCTCAGGATGTCCTTTGACGATGCCGGGAGTACATACCTGGCACTATCTATTTGGTGCAGCCTCGTGTCATTTGGCTTGAAACTCAGGGGCCTCAGGCAGCTGATAGAAACCAGTCACTACTGCATCCGACAAAGGCATTGCCGAATAATTAGGTCCGCGGAATCTCGTTCTGCATTTATAACCAAGAGAAGGCAAAAGAGGCAAAAAAACAAGAGAAGACTTAGACACCGAGCCTGAAACTCCAGAGGCCAAAAGTCTGAACCCTGTCAACCCTACACCCCACAAGCGGCCAGGGTGAAATCTGGATTCCCTCACAGCCTGTTTCCCTAATGCCTGAACCCCAAAATCCAAAACACCATGGTGATCTGAGTGATGCCAGAGCATGTCTAATTTCAGGTCGTTTCCCGACTGTTTCAGTACTGCTATTTACCTAACTGTAGCTGCCTCTTTTCGCTGTCTGCAACAACGACTGGATCATTGTCTGCCGCCTGACTGCCTGACGCAGCGCAAACGCTGACCGTAAAGCCTTGTTAGGGCTACTGGTAGGGTTTGGTTTTTTTTTATGACGCATCGACAGCATTTTCCAGAACAACTAGGCGGGCTGTTTGAAGAGCCAACACGCTCCTTCTGTTATTCTGGTTGGACAGAAGGGTTTGAAGGGTTGCTCGGCTCTGTCCCCATGCATCCTGCGGACCAAATGCCCGTCTTGATGTGAACTTCTTTAAGTATGGGGCGAGGGTTAACATCAAGTCAATGCAGTCAAGATCGTTTCGCCATGGTGATGATGGTGATAATGGGTCATGAGTTCAATGATTTATATAGTTCATGGTGCACATAGTGCTAGGAGTGAAGATGGTACCTTCGGGCGGCATGGTTTATGACCAAGCTCAGGTTCTGGACCGCAGACATCTTCGTTAACTTAAATACGGCAATCTACATCAAGGGCAAGCTCACGTTGTCGCGCACCCGGGCTTTGCAAAGGAGCCGGATTCGTTTTTCGTCTTGACCGCTCTAGTTTTCCTTGGTTGTGATCTGTAGACGGCATAAGCCCTATAAGCCTTAAAACCCTAAGATTGCCTCTGCTCCGGGTGATTCTGGGTATAGAGATGCGCTGCTTCTCCCGGAGCTTCACTCGGGGGAGGCACAGCGATCTGTTGGCGCGGGTTGAGGGTTTTTAGGCCGGGGAAGGCACCGCGATCTTCTGGCGCTACCTGAAGACGTGGCTCATCCTGGATGTGACGCTGGTGTCCTTGGACTTCTTCAACATGGGCTACATCCCCGGAGACTTCGCAGGCGTGAAGACAGCTTCCGGGGGGGGGGGGGGGGTCTTATGCTCGTGCGGGTTTGTCTCTATTTTTGGAATCTGGAACAGCCAGAATATGGCCGATAACAAGCCAACAATACCGACTCTCCATCATCATCATAATCATGGTTCTCATCTTGTCGCTCCAAATAGCATGTCAAGGTTGGAAGGCGAAGGGCAATGGCCCTTTTCAGACCTTCGATCTCGTGGAGCCGTGCTTGGAGTGAGACGGTACAAAACCCATGAAAGCCCTAAACTCAATAAGCCGACTTCCGAACCCCATCTGGCAGAGAAAGAATAGGAGAGCCTAATATAGTGGCCTCAACAATTACCTACATTATTTTGGGGGCTCCTTGTTATAAATCTAGTATAATGGGCCCCAAAACCCGATTCTAATTATTAAGGTCCCTACACTATAAATCTAGTATAATGGGCCACAAAACCCTATTCTGACTATTAAGGCCCCTATATTACATTCTACAAGTTGTTGACGAACGGAGGCGATCTCACAGTCTTCCGAGCTGGCCGGGTGGTGCGCATCTTCCGCGTCTTCCGGCTTCTGCCGCATGGCTCGAAATGGGGAAAACAGTCTCGAGACCCCCATGGAGCAATATATAGAATTTTGTATGGGACAATGCAGCAAAATCAACATGAGTGATATTAGGGTTCTTAGGACCCCTTGGACCCCTTATTATAACTAGACCCCTTGAATTGGGGAGTTGCAGGCGTGGGGTCTTAGGGTCTCAAACTTGTTCGTGGAGGTTGGCGGTCCAGACCCTAAACCCTACACCCTATACCCTAAGCCCTAAACCCTATACCGTTTTCACCAAGCCTAAACTGATTGGGAGCCTGCCTCCCGAAGCAAGCATCCGTGTAGCGAGGCGGTTGCTGAAGATGACGAAGCTGGACGAGATCACGCAAGAGATCCTCGGCGGGTAGTGGGTTATAGGGCCTTTAAGGATTTTGGTCGGAGTACTTATTTAGGGCTTCCTTGCTCGGGTCACTGAATTCGGTTCCTTGTTTTTGATGGACTGCTTCATGTTTGTGAATATCTGATACCCCGTTATCTTCGGAAATGTTTCCTTCAGTTGCTTCATGTCCGCTCTCGGCACTTATCCGAATCTTCCAGACACCTGTCTGTCCACACTGCCTCATTGCATGTACTGATCGACGATTATACTTGGCTGTACTACACTAAGGTATATCGTCAATCGTATTCTGTTCTATTATGTTATTATATTGCCTGGTGTCCTTGCGCAGTCGGTCTCCTGCTTCGATGTCAATGTGTAGCAGTGTGCTCTTGGTCCCTGACCCTCATTCCCTCCCTTTCTGCTGAGGATTGCGGCTTCCACTGGGCGGCAGTGGATCATGCTGGTCATGGCTGCTTGCCTGATATACAACGAAGCCGAGCCGCAAACTTATGTTCCCACTTTGTCCGCAGGGCTTCAAAACTGCATGACCTGGCTAAAGGCCGGCAGGCGCTGAAAGGCCCAATCACACCCTGTCGGATTTAGATGCTGTCATTTCGATTGGGACAGGCTCGGGCTCATGCTGGATTTGCGACTGCGAAGTATAAGTACGATCTTTCTTCGTATCCTTGTTGCTTGTAGATGGCAGCACGAGATTGTCGGGTAGGTTGGCGTGTCGCATGCATGTTTGTCTTTTGTGATCTTGCCGGATGCTCGGATTTTTGTGTTCAATCTAAGCACTTTAGGAGGGACCCCTCATAGGGACCCTTACTCCCATTACCTTAAACAACCATTGTATAGTCCTTATATAACCTACAAGGGTCCCTATTAAGGGTCCCTCCTAAAGCCCTTAGTCTCAAGTGGGTGGTTGTCAAGATTATGGTCCCTTTTTGGGTCCTTATTATAATACGGCACCTATTATTTAGGGTACCGCAAAAGGGACCATAATTACAACTACCCAAGTCGTGAAGACGGGAAGCCGCCTGAAATTCTGCGAGCAGCCAGGCGAGTCTAAGTGAAGAGCTTGAGTCTTCAGGCCTCATGCACAAAAACCAGTTGCATCTACAAGAAAGTCTCTCTAAAAGTAGTATATCGTATTTTACAACATATATGACAACTGTCAGAAGAATAGTATAGTATACATTAAAATCTTTATAATATGGTGGCAAGTGGACTCCGAGCATCCTTAATGTCGGCGGGGGCGGGGTTCCTTCATGTGGTTCGGGTTCAGGGTTTAGGGTGATACCTTCAACCAAAATCCGAGTGCAGGGTGGCCTTCAATAGGTTTTCGGGTTTATGGTAGGGGGCAGTGCTTTGGGAAGTTGTTAGCTGGTTGTGTTGAAGCAGTTCTGTAAACAAAGGAGCACCGGCCTGAACCTATTCTTGGCAAAAATTGCTGAGAATATAGAAAAAAAAGGCCAACAACATCACGTATGGCATCATACTCGCATCATAGGTTTGGATTGAACCTTTCCAAATCACATGCCTGTCACTGCACGAAGACAAGATGAAGTTGTAGCTAGATGCGAAAAGCACTGCCGAGACAATCCTAGGCTGTGTTCAACTCTGCTGTTGTGACCATGCTGGTGGCGCACATTGTCACCTGCGTTTGGTTTTGGATTGGCAAGACGGTCTCTTGGCTGCCGTGTAGCTCTCGTGGCTTGTTGGTGTCTTTCTCTCTCTCTCTCTCTCTCTCTCTCTCGCTCTATCTCTACCTCTACTCCTACCTCTAGATACACATAAAGAAAGCAATAAATAAATATACATGTATTTGAATCAGTATATATATATACACATACATACATACACACACACACACACACACTTTATTTATTTATATGTACGTATGTATGCATGCATGTATACTTATATCAACATGTGCATATATATATATACACATCGTGTGTGTGCACATGTCAACCTACATATGCACACACATGCACGCATACATACACATATCGATATATATATATATATGCACATATATATATATACATATATGTGCATACACACTTTTTCCACACTAGGTGTCCAATACGGCTTATACTCGAACCGTGTACAATGGGTATAGTACTGCTTGTGGTTGAGGTTGAGCTGACATGGCAGTGCGTGCGTTGCCACCACCTTTGAAGTACTCGTCACAGCAGCAGTAGCAGCAACAGCAGCAGATGCTGGTGCTTGCTTACGCAGAAGCAACAACCAAAGAGAACCGTAAAATCGGTGTACATGGTTCAACACAGCTGGAACTCGATTGTAGAATGGATGCCTTTCTCTGAGCCGTGCTCCTCGCGCTGCACCGGTACCAAAACACCAGCCGGACATGTCCGAGCGATGTGAGATTCAGGTTTGGGATGAGGGCCATGTCAGCTGGATCCACCTTGCAGAGGCCGAGAATCTCAGTGCAAGTGTTCAGACGCTCGGCTGCTGTCATGTTTGTGTACAGTACACTTTGCCTCATTGCCTGCTGTGGGAAGCCCATCGCGATTGACAAGCTTAGGCCGCTTAGGCATGAGTTTCATCCTACTCATTCTTAGAGTCCATGATGGGCTTCAATCAGCTTTCCAAATATATGGCATAATATATGGCCCATGCTGACAAGTCCTGTTATCTGCAGGCACATGTACGATCGTAGAAACATGACGGACGTGCTGCGGCAGGACGTACATGCAGTTGTGTCCGGCATTTAGTTGCTTGTTTTGTCTCCGTTAATGTGTTCTATCTTTGCCCTTGCAGTAGCCAGCAATTGCTGCTTTCTTTCTCAGCTTGCCGGCATCTCTGCCCCGAGCGGATATCCTAATCATCATAAAACTCAGCTCCAAAAACATGTGGCGCCGTTGTCCGCAATCACGGAATCATGCACCAGACACTGGAGCTCTTCACTTCCTCACCTTCAAGCGCTACCAGAATTATCACAGCCGTATCGTAATTCTTACCATCCAAGGTATATCCATGCCATCCGCTATGTGATGAACCCTCCTGCACCGCCTTCCATCATGGCGAATAGTGGACGAGAGCGAGTTTTCGACATTCTGAACTTCGTGCCCCTCGGCCGGACTTAAGTTACTTTTTTAGCTGCACGAACTCGAATCCACCAGACCCTATAGACCTGGATGTTTTGCAGCGGCCGTGGCCGCAGTCGATGCATGTTCAGCTGGGAGACATCAGGCGGGGGAAAACTCGTTCTCATGCTGTTCCTCCAGCTGAGTCTTGTTCGGTATTTGTGCAATAATTATGGCCTCAGAGATGCGGTCTGCTTTTGTCGTGGCTGCAGAGTATCACAGGAAACGGGGAGGGTGAGGTGTGTTAGCTTGCATGATTTTTCGCACATGCAAACATCTGGAGTTGCTCTCTCGAACGTAAACCCTCCCCTAATAGCCCTAATATAAAACTAACTCCTTCGGGCATTTGCCGTGGAATGGGCCCAAAGAGGAGTTTTACAGAGAGGATATTAAGGAGATCCTACGGGATGGTTCCGGGGCAGACGGCTGGGACCAAAAACGGCTACTTAACCTGAATCGAAGCTTTGTCTCTCTCGCTCTCGCGCGGATTGTATTTTTTGGAGTTATCCCAGCATCCGAAACCGTACGGTTGCAAGAGCGAGTGTGCATTAGAATGTGTGCGTCAAGTTCTTTCCTTCTCAGAGTCGATTAGGTCTAGGGATTATCCCAGCATCCCAGACGTTGCGACTGCAAGAGCGCGTGTGTAATAGAGCGTATGAGCTGGGATGAACAAGAACTGCAGCCTAATTACAGGGGTCGCAGGAATGTAGGACTGCAGGGTCAAAGGGGAGCAGACTGAAGATGTTAAAACGAACCTTTGATCTTAAAGTTCATTCCAGGGACTGTAATATTCGGGGAGGGGGGGGGGGGCGGGCTGGGGGGCTAGCGGGCTATACTTCTCTGCATTTTGTTGATTAGTTAGCGTGTAAATGAATACAGCCACATCGATTGTTGAGAGGTTCACTTTGGTCGTGATCGGCGGCACCGTCTCCAAGATATCCGGGACTTTGGCAGAGCTGCGAGCGATGAACTTCGGCAGCTTAGGGCTTAAGGTTGGGTTTGGGTTAAGGGCTTATGTCTTTGGGGAAGTCAAGATTGAAGGCAAGGGTTCAGGTTTTGGTGCCTGAAGGCGCAAGGATTGAATGGCTTTCTACGAAGATTGTCTGCCGTGTTATATACGGATACGATTGTGGTTGTTAGTCATTGTCGCATTGATGCAACAGCGGATGGCATTGTGGTGGGATGTCAATTAATGCTTGCGACGGCCGTCGACTGCGTTATGAGTCCTGTCGACGATGAACACTACCGCGGTAACGGTGATGGTTCTGATGATGATGGTGGTGTGCTGATGATGTTTGGCCAGCGGTCGTGCTGGCAACCATGATGATGCGGATGGTGGTTGTGACCGTGGCTCTGTCTCGATTGCTGCTACGGCCACGACGACGACGACGAAAGCAATTGCATTTGCTAGTCATGCCCCTCTTTGCAGTTCAGGGCTTGTCATCCTGATATGTTCGGTAGTTCCACCTTCGCCTGTTTCCTACACCCTAAATGATGAGTTGTTTGTCGTTCCTTTGACGCCGTGGATCCCAGGAACGAATCACGCGCCCGCCAGAAGCGAGAGATTCGCGAACCTTGGCCAATCAAAAGCGTAGATGCTTTGGTGCGTCTGTGTATGTACATCTATCTATCTATCTACATATCTACATCTACATATATATATATATATGTATGTACATATGTATATATATATATATATATCTATATATCAGTGTTTATGTATGTACATCAATTTTCTTATCTACCCGTTCACTTATTCGCTTAATTATTTGGTTCTTTGAATATTGACCTGGGGTGACCTTGCCACATGTGAGAGCAACAAATGTGCGTGTACGCGTTGATGTGTGTGTATATGAACATATGAGAATGACAATGTATGTGTGAATGTTTGTATATATATATATAGAAAATACGTAAGCATACATACATATGTATATATATATATATATATACATGTATATATACATATATATATATATGTATGTACATGTGTATGTACATTATATGTATTCGTGCATGGTTTCGGTTTTTTGTCACGTAGCCTCAGCAGCCTCAACAATGTTGTTGTTCGTGACGGCATTTGGCCATTGCATGAGGCCTAGGGACTGCTTGGGAGACTTGTCGCGCTGAAAGAATCTTCACGACTTGCGACGGCATGTCCGAGAGCTACGACGCTACGACCAACCATAAACCGTGCTCGTCTCCAAACCCAGAGCCCGGAACCCTGAGTCTTAAAGTCTAAATCATGGGGTATTGTAATTCGTCATGCTATACGGTAATATATTATCAATCAGTATAAGTCTTCGTGACGTCCCCCCGGCTTCTGTCAGGTGTATCTCACCCACCAAGATGCCTCGTTTGAGCTCGTTTCCCGCATCATGCGGCCCCTTGTGCGCAGATCATTTTGGGACAGATGGGTGAACATTTGATGCAAAGAGTTGATCGTGTCTACAAAGAGCTTCCTCAGCGGTGTCATATAGGACCACCAAAGTCTTGTATGCACAAGCTCTTGTTTCTTTGCTTCACCTCCGGTTCGGATTCAACAGTAGGTGATGCGTGCAAACCGTCAGTGGGAATATGAGCCAAGCCGGCAGGTAAACAGCACAGCATCCAAGCATTCAGATCGCGCAACAACCATCTCCACATTAACTCGCCGCTGCTTTGGTTGATTTCAGGGCGACGGGAATCGAAAAGTCGTGAACCTGAGCAAGGCTAGGACTGAGACGGAGGTGGGCTGCCGGGTTTTCGGCATTGCAAGAACAGCACACTTGCGTCGAGAGGTGGGCTTTGCATTGTTGCACCTATTGCAGAAGTTTCATGAGCTAATGCTAGCAGAGCGTGACCCCTGTAGAACGGGATCAAACATATTACCTTTTGTGATCCCAGGTACAGGGTCAAATAAGCGGTGTAGGTACTGTCGGAGAGAATTAGACTTTTGTGATCACGGTGCAGTTTCAGGCTTTGCAATGCAAGTTTTCCAACCTGGCATGCCATATTACACCGCTAGACCCAAGTACTAGCTAACCTTACCCGAGTGTTCGAACTCAATTTTCGAGACTAGGAGTCCGATACAACTTGACCCAGCCATGTGTTAAGCGAATCCGAAGCTTCCTGCTTTGTCAGCGGACCATGTTCAAAGTATGTCAAGAGCTCGCAACGTCGCCGCTCCGTAAGCTATGCGTCCATGGAGCTGCGCAGTGTAAGGTCTCACCACGGCTTTGGGGGATCGAGTTGGATGAAGATTTGTTTGAGCTCGTGCAATGTTGACTCGTCATACTTAGGTTCGTGGACTACAAGCTGGAGAAGAACACTCCGATATCTTTCGACAGTTGCCTGGACAAGCCAGTCCGAAGTTCATGCCTTGGGTTTGAATCTACTTGAGTGTTGGAGAGAAAGAGAATCAGATAGAGAGAGAGAGAGAGCGAGCGAGAGAGTCACAGTGCTGCAAGCTTCAGTGAAGAAGTGAGGCCATGAGTCCTTTCTTTCGGTTGGTTTTGGAGAGCGCTTGTTGGCAGGTCCATGTTGTTCCACGTATTCGGTGGATGATGTGCTGAGCTCACTCCGGTCGTGATGCCAGCATGCAGCCTTACAAGTCTGTTGGCCCGGTTCGTTTGAAGCTCTGCCAGTCCAGCAGATGACATGCGTGCTTATCAGTCTTCATGTTGAGTACGCTTGAGACTGAGAAAAGCACAGATGTGAACAACGAAGACATGTCTTGCAGCCTCTGGACACCCGTGCACGTCGAAGTGCACTTTCTGGATGTAAGCTTTGTCTCAGATTTGACATGTTGGAGCTGCAAACAAGTTGGCACCTGAGCAAAGCTTTCATTCGCGTACCCATAAAGCCTCACAAAGCCCCAGACAAAGAGAGGGGCCCTCGTGGCCCGGGCACCTGACAAAGAGAGCGAGAGAGAAGGACAGGGAGAGAGAGAGCGAGCTGTCACGTAGTGGTAGAGAGAGAGGGGGAGAGAGAGAGAGAGATAAAGAGAGCCCCTAGACCACAAGCAAGCAAGCAAGAGAGAGAGAGAGAGAAGGGTGAAAATCGAGCGAAATCTGTCGGGATTGCGAAAATGACAGCATGTTGTGTCATCACGGAGGCTCCCTGATATCCATAACGCTTCAGACAGAGCTCTACGTCAACCAGCGAGGCTGCCCGGACAGTTTTGCAAGAGCTGTCCGAGCAACAGTCTGAAACTCCTCACGCTCATGGCCTGGCTCTCTGTCGGAATAATAGTGACTGGTAGTGTGACGATGATGACACGATGAGAGGCCGCAACGACCAGCTCTGGCCAGGATGAGGATGATGCCACGGCTGAACGTAAGGAAGGTTCGAGCATGGCATACAAGTACGAAGCTCTAAGGCGCAGAGATCGGGACAGATGTTAGCAATTCACTTCGATTATCGGTTTAGCCTATCGCCTCGTCATGTAACAACCATGTAGGAAGACTACAAGCCCGCAGCCAGTCACCGGATGCCGAAACAGGTGAAATACGTTCGTAAGACTAGAAGAAGTCTTCGTTTGCGGTATGACGACTGCTGCCGGTGCTACCACCACCGCTACTGCACAGCTCCCGCGACCAGCTCATTCCTAATCCTTGATGGGAAGGAGAGGGGGAGGATGATGCATGTGCGTGTGTAAAAACTGCATATATATATATATATATATGTTTGGTTTGCATATCAACAAGGCAGCTGGGACTCATGTAATCAAAAGCCGCCGTTCGTAATGAACATGCGCGTACACACATACGTGTACGCATGTATGCATTTATATGTATATATGTATATACATGTGTATGTGTATGTGTATGTGTATGTGTATGTGTATGTGTATGTATATATGTGCATGTGTGTAAGTGAGTGTGTGTATACATATATATATATATATATGTGTTTGTGTATATATGTGTACATATATATATATATATACATGCGTATACGCATGCGTGCATGATTTCAAATCTTAGTGTATACAGTTGTATTTATGCATATAGACATACAGATACAGTTAGATGGAAACATAGCGACGCGATGTCGATGTATGCATCCTGTGTGGTACAACCCGCATCCTAGCAGCTGGGCAGGGAAGTTCCTCGAGTCCGTGCCAGTCTTCGGCCTCACGAAGCAAGCATTTCCCGACTGTCACTTGGTGCTTGGTCAGGGTTTAGGGTTTGGGGTTTAGGGAGTTTAGGGTTTAGAGTATTGTGCATGGTCAGTTACGTTGTCGGGTTCTCTGGGCTCGCGGTCAGTGGCAATCCTGTTCGTTTCTGAGACCTTAGAATTGTAGCCGAATGCACTGCCGAACGAGACCCTGATCGTATGGGTGTTGTTTGTTTGGGCGCAAGGCTCTCTTGAACTTGTGACCCGGATTCTTGTGCGACAGCATAAACTAAATGGGGTCCGTTGTGGCTCTCTTAGCTCTCCGCCGTGTGAGCCCTATGCCCTGAACCCGAAACCCTTGGGGTTGTGTTCCCAGGCCCAGTGCGCTCAGATTTCTTGCCTTGGGAAGGGCATAGGTATCCGGCTCTGAACAGGGGAACCGAAGTTTCTCCAAACACATGGAAGTTTCCGAAAATTAGGGGTACCTTATTTTGGGGTCCTTATAATAAGGATCCCATTATTTAGGGTAATATATATTAGGGTCCCCTCTTCTCGGAAACCCCCACATCGTTTTGCTACTGCCGACATCTTTCGGTCCCAGAACAGAGTCGGCCCTCGTACAGCTACCCATACCCATAGTAGTTCCTTTTTGTGGCTTATGTTTAGGATCCTATCAGGGAATCCCAAAAAGGAACTACTATGGGGCCTCTGGGTAGCTTTGTTGGCCATGATTTCGCTGAGGCTTTGCGAGCATTTGTGCGGCGCTGGTGAAGAATGTATTCGAGAAGAAGGATCGGATGGAAACGGTGCGCTCAAGGAATTACCAAGCACGTGCCAGGCACACTAAACCGTACAGCTTGAAACTCATGCATGGTGCGGTTTCTACTCCTGCCCTGATCTTGGGGACTGAGCTATCAAAGCAGACACCTTCCACTCTGCATAACCCTTAGGTGTCTAGGTTTTTGAAGTCTCATATGGTTCTTCTGGTCCAAGTACCTAAGCAGCACTTTTGCACCTCTGCCGGACAATCGTCACACGTCATCTTGCTTGAGCCCTCGAGCCTAGTATAGTGACTACCCGTTTAACTTTAAACTTGAAGCTCCAGATGCAACATCAGGAGTGCGTGTTCACGGCGGGAGCTGTTGCAAACGCAATGTACCTCACCGCCACCGGCACGTACATCCACACCGATGCTGGGCTGACAGACCCCTACAAAGCCTTGCAGATGCCAGGGTTGAGGGGCTGGGATGCCTGAAGTCGCCGAAGGTCTGCTTCTCGAGTTGGCCACATCGGTTTGAAGGCTCCAAGAGCACAGGCCTTGCTCAGTTGATCTCATGTAATGTGCTCTCTTTGCCGCCATGGGGAACAGCAGGCTATCCTGCTTGGAAGGTCTCGTGGCATAAACAGGCAGCTGCTTCAAGAGACCCAGGGCAAAAACAATCCCGTCTGCACCTCGGCCCCAAGCCCTGACACTCAAAACATCCCAAAACCCAAAGCTTTAACCCTCAAGCCCAAACCAGAAGGAGCTTGGAATCTGCAAACCTCCAGACTCAATCAAAACCCTATGTAGAAGCCTGAATGATTACCGATGTATTTCCTTACAGCTCCTGTTCAAGTTATAACCTAGACCTAGCCCAAAAGCATCCCCAAAACTTTATTTTTGCCACCAAGACCCTTATACATACTAAGCCCTAATGAGACACGTATACATACTAAGCCTTGGGTACTGCCCCCACTCAGTAACAGTTGGATAATATTTATATTATGGATATATTAGGCCCTTAGTATTAGCCCTATTATAGACTGTTACTGTACGGGGGCAGTACCCAAACTAAGCCCCAAAGGCTCGAAGAGCTGAGGACAGCAACGGCGCGGAGGAGACCTTCACCGGCGAGCACTGGTTCGAAGAAATGAGCGGCCTGTCTTCGGTTTAGGGTTTAGGGTTTATTTAGGGTTTAGGGTTTAGGGTTTATTTAGGGTTTAGGGTTTAGGGTTTAGCAGCCTGTCTTCCTAGGGTTTAAAACAGGGTTTGCCTATAGTCTCCATGGTAGTTCCTGTTTGGGCTTATCGTTTAGGATCCTGTTTTTACAAGTTTGGTAAACTGCAATGGAGACTATAGGTGTATCATGGCTTAGAGTTTTTGAGGGTTGGGGTTTTGGATTTGAGTTTGGCATGTAGGGTTTAGGGATATGGGGTTTGGGTTTCAAGAGTGTCCTTACATGCGGCTTTAAACTCGACTTGATGTGCTTTCAGAACGGATTTCGATGACTGTCTCTGTCTCTTGATATAACCTGACCGGTGCTCCAAACGTCTTGAACGCGAGGCGGCTGGTTCTGATTTGGGGTTCTCGTGGTGCAAGGACCAAGACAAAGTGCCTGAACACCCGAAATCCGGAGGCCTAAAGCCACAAAGCAATGATTCATGTGTTCAGCCTCATTCGGCACTTTGCTTCAATACGGCGTCTCTTCAGATGTGCCAGTCTCAGCCCATGACTCACAACAAGGTTCCAACGTGTGGGGCCAGGGACTGTCAGGTCAGAAAAAGTGCCTGCGTCTCTCTATAGAATAACCCACAATGTAAACAACCCACGCTAGACTTTTCTACATGTTTGTTTTCGTGGACGCACCTGGCTTATTGTGCGTAGTGCTGTAAATTTGTCCAGCAATTCACTGGGGACTTCAGGTCGGGAGTCGGGCCCTTTCCCAGCAGTCAGAAAGAAAAGACAAAGATGCTGACTTCCTCTAGGCCTAGGTTCGTTGAAGCGAGAAGAAACACGTATCCAGCGAGAGATCGAACAAAAGCAATGCATGTCTTGTCTACACCGACACCGACCAGTGCAGGACAATAACTCACTTTCCACAAAGAGAGGGACGTTTGCACTGTCTTTCAAGAAGGCGAAAACGAAAGAGCAGCAAATTTCGGTCTAAGACAGCAAGCTACACGAGGTGCTCGGGAGACCACTGCCGAAAAGACCAGGTACATGTACATTGTGTGTGTGTGTGTATATATATATATATATATATATTCAGCTTTACGTACAGACTTGCTTGGACGCCGCAGAGGTGGGTAGAGTCTTAGCAGGAAGCCTAACTACTAAGACTCCGCCCCGAACATTGCCAGACTGGAGGCCTCTACGCTGAAAGCATGGTCCATCATTCCACCTTGACATCGAAGACTTTCGGGGAAATATTCACCCTGGACGGGAAGGACTTGAAACTCTGGAAATGCCAAGTGGTCTGTCAGGTTATATAGGTCAACTAGTATTCTTACTCGGGGATTTGGGTTGTTCGTCAGACAAAGGCGCTGATTCCTGAAGAGCATGAACTCCTGTTTTGAGCGTACGAGTTCCCAACACTGGAGATCGTGAACATGACAATCATCTGAGGAGGTCTAGACAGACCCATAATATGAGGATTGGGCTAACTCGGGTTTAACAATTGTTCGTGTTATTCTCGGACACGGCATCGTTTAGTGAATACTTCAGCCTTAGTCTGGAAGTAGTGTCCAGCATGTGATCTAAGTTAAGGAGTTGTGTGTTTTAGGTGTTTCGCAGTTTCTGTCCACTGGGGTCCGTAGAGACTCTCCAACTTTAGCACCAGTCAGTCAAACATCTCGCCTTTCTGTTCCATAAGAGCTTTGAACTTTCGAAGGTCATGGTGCGGCTGCTATGCTTCCACCATGAAATGAGTTGTGTTACGCATACACAACATGAGATGGGCCACAGAAGGCAATGTCAGGCTCCTGAGGAGGGTATGTAACACTGTAGATTTCCTGAGCAGTCCTGAGCTTTGCTGACACCGAAAGTTCGTTCTGCCGGCAGGTTCTCGACCGAAACTGAGAGGTTAAGATGCCTTCACCGAAGCAAACGAGCTACAAACCTCCCAGAGGTTGGCGTTGCAGTGTTGGGTTTTTATTTGGCAACCGCTTCCTTCAGGACCTAGTGGACTGCTTGCAGAACTCCCCTGCCTCAGCATCCATGCTCCCTGGTGAACTTTGGGCCCAACAAAGGGCTTCTGTTTGAGCCCATGCCAGTTTTTGGGGCTTAGGGCTTGGAACAAGCTCGCTCAATAAAGGTGTCTAATTTCGAGTCCATCTCTGTGGCTATCTGTCTGTGACTGTCTCTGACTAGTCGGCAGTATGCGACACACATGGTTGAGGAAGCTTAGGGTTCAGGCTTAATGTGTCCTAAACCTTACACCGATTATTAAGCAACAGGCCGTTTATCATTGTCAGGAAAGCAGGTGTGCATCTGCTGGTGCCGAAATTCTAGCCTGGCTTTTCGACAAGCCGTGGGAAGCTAGAAGGGAGCACGCAGAAAAGTACACGATGGCCGAGGTTCTGTGGCTATGCGAAAGCCTTCGTCGACCCCTTTCCTGCATTTCAAGCCCTAAACCCTAAACCCTAAACTATGTCCGATTTGCGAGATTCCTCAGGCATCCCAAGTCCGACGTGCTGAGGATGCAGCAATGATCGTAAATGATGCTCTTGCTCTTCCTGCTTGAGTAAAGCAGACCCTTGTGGTTTCCCCACCTCCACTTCCTGCACAGGGGTTGCAACAGGGATTCTAGTGTTCTTGATTTGGGGTGAATACGCTCGAATTGTTCCGAGAGTCCTTTGTGAGCCCCGTCGAAACAAGGCTGTGAACCCGCAGCCTTTTGAAGCCCCAAACCTTTGCCCTTCGGCACTGTTTGCCGTGTGCTTCGTGTACTCTGGTGTTCCCGGCAGCGTAGCTGGACGGGCAGCAAACAAAGCCAAAAGCCTGAACATAAAACTGACGGCTGCCGGTTTGGGCTTTAGGGCAGTTTAGAGCTGCTGTGCTTTCTGCAGTGGCGCGCAACTTAGGTTGTCGGGACTCATGCTTGCATGTATCGTATTTCAAGTCCTCAGCAGCAGCCCTTTGGATGTGTCTGCACGTTTGGGTTGCACGCTGACATGTTGAAAAATGTCTTAATGTTTTTATGTAATGACATCTAGCTAGCCCTTCAGGCGTAGAACTCAGAACTATGTTCAGTATCTGCAGATGTCTCCTTGTTTTCCCATTCCCCTGCTTGGCTCTGGCTGAAGGCCGCTGTTTCAGGTCTCTACCTTTCAGGGGGCGGCTTATAGTTTCTGGTTGCACAGGCAGGGAACCTCAGCCCAGATCCTTCCGTCGCACCAAGCTGAGGAGATGATGCAAAAGCCAACTGGGCTCACAGTCCACGGCCAGCAGTCGCCCCGCTGCAACTTTGCCCCGGGCGTCGGCTTAGGGAATGTTGGGGAAAGGCTATGGTTGTGTTCTGAGTTCAAGTTCAAAGCCGTAACTTGAACCTCGTCCAGACCCTAAATGCGGCACTGTAAACCCAAAACAGCCCGAAAAGCCGCTCTTTTCTGCTCGCTTGCAGGCTGGTGACGGCAGATTCCTGCTGCCGGCATACGCGGCAGTACCAGGACCGAAGCCACCACCCATACTTCTCCTCGGCGCACCATCAATGACGATAAGAATTGAGTGGCGCGGTAGGGTGCATGCCAAGACACCTTGCAGGCTATTCATCTATGCCAACATGTGGTGTCGTTAGCTTTGTAATGCGGCCGTCGACAGCATTTTGACAGTCCAACGTGCTGCAGCACTGGAAGCTTACCTGTCACCTCGAATCCTCCCATCTTTGGACTCAGTGGCCCGTCACTGTTCCACCTGTTTTATTTTCACCCTACCCTTTGCTGTTGGCGCCAGTTTGGTGCTGGCGGCGTGATATGTTGCAATAGTGGAGTCTGCTGCCGTGCAGCATCTGCGACCCATACCAAAGCGCTTGGTGCCAAACATCTATTCCGAGGAGCTGTACCCTGATCCGAAGACACGCTTGGATAACATCTGCATCCTGCACGATGTTTTGGGGCCCGACATCCAGGCAACAGCCGAGTGAAGTCATTAAGACATGGTGTATTGCTGCAGAGACAGTTGTTGTTCCATGCATTCGTGAATAGACGCAACATTCAGCCTGGTGTTCGATTCCCTCAACCCATTAATCGAATCAGCTGCCTCTGTTGATTATTTGGCTGCTGTGTCGCTTTAGACCTTGCCTGGATTGCCTGAGTGCGCCTGTCAAAACTCATGATGTCAGAGTACTTTGCCTAGTCTGATGACTTCCAGAGTGTTATCGTAGCTTTCCAGCAACTACAGCGGCCAAGTCTAGATCATTTGCAACAATCAGCAGCTTGTTGTCTTGATGAAGTCATGTTGTCAAAGAGGCCTGTGCAACTTAACCACGTGACATATTAAATTCTGGCCTCTGGGTTCATGCATCGAGAAACCTTAAACCCTATAAACACTAAAGCCTGAAACCCTAACCCTAAAACCCTGAACCCTAAATTCCTCGCCTTACCCAGACACCGTCGGAAAGCACCTGCAGCTTCCGTTCTGGGGGGCGCCTTGGCCCATTCAAGGGGTTTGGTGTGCGAGACGCGTCCCACAACAACAACCGCCCATGTTGCAACCGGGGCTCAAGGAGGGTAGTTGGTCGATTTTGATCGTGGAGCTTCAACAACAGGTGGAGTTTTATCGAATGAAGTGCCATCCCAACCTCGAAATGCTCCTGCAACCATCGATCTAGAATCAGCTACGAGGATAACGTTTGTTGCTGAACGTGTGACCTAGCAGACCTAGCACTGAGTCTGCGCGAACCTCGCAACAGCTCCATGTCCCAGTAGATGAACCAAGAACACGTTCCGAAACAATCACTCAGCAAGCGAAGCTCAGAATTGAAAATGATTTCAAGCCTGACGCCCAACGAGCCTAAGCCACAAGATGCGAACTGCAGCGAAGAAGGTTGGCCCACATGCTCAAGGACCTCGACCGGGGTGGTTTGCAACCTGCGCCTCGGATCTACTCGCACCATGCAGTCATGCTTGCAATGCGAGTGACAAGAGCAGCCAATGCAGGAGGGTGGGAGTAAACACTGTGGCAAAAAAAATGAGATATGTAAAGATGGTAGTGGCACTTCCGACTATCCTTCTGCATTCGCGTGACGACTTTCAGTCCACTGGCTGCGTGATGCGGTGTGAAGTCATACCCGATTCATTCGAGACGTATGCTGTTCAACTCATCTTGTTTCAGTGCTCATTTCTCTTGTTAGAGGTGCATTCGCATGACAGGAACCAGGTCCATTGTTTCAAAAAAGATGGTAATGGTCGGAAGCAATACAATGCAAGCTATAGTCTATAGTCGGTCACAGCCGTGGAAAGCCGTGTCTAGATGGAGAGTTTTTCGGATGTCTAGAATTCTGGAATGCTTGCTAGCACACAAGGATCTAAGAGAAACTGGGTTCTGACAGGTAGGTGATGCCCGGTGCACCTCTAAACTAAAGAAGACACTGAGGGGCGCCCTACGCATACTCAAAGCAAGCATGCACTGCGTTTGCTCATCAGATGTGCCCACGCAGGCAACTCGCAGACCTTCAACTAAGAGTAGCCTCAGAGCCTTCCAGGTGTATTGTGCGCATAGCAGTCTCCAGAAACGAAGGAGCCCAAGCCCCTCAGCTTCACAACAAGAGCCCGCGCGACCTGGCTAGGAAAACATCATCATGATGCTGCAGAGACTCGGCGTGTCCCATCCTTTGCAGCCTTGTAGATGCTTTGTGATTTGATGCTCGTAATAAGCCTTCGGTGCTTTCCATGAGCACTGGATGATTCTGGCACTGCTGCAGCAGCAACGTACCTCGTCATCATATTTGCTATCGTCTTAGAGGGCTGTGGTTTCGGTATGTGTTTTCATGATGATACCAAGACGACTTCGACGATCACTCCTACTGCTACTGTTGTTACAATTCCACGACGACGACTACTACCGTTCCTGCTGCTACTGTTGCTGCTGCTTCTGCTGCTACTTCCTCCTCCTCCTCCTCTTACTTCTACGACTACTCCTGCTGCTGCTGCTGCTGCTGGGCTGGGGCTGTATAACTACGACGACGACGCGAGGAGGAGGACGGACTACGACTACTTCTGCTCCTCTTCCTGCCGCTCCTGCCCCGGCCACTTCGTCCACTGCTGCTGCTATCACCTTCGCTGATACGGCTCCGAATACTACTGCTGTTCCGTTACTTGGCAGTAGCAGCAAAAACTAGTGCTACTGCGACTGGTGCTACCACTACTGCTTCCGATATTTACGCCATTTTGCCTAAGCTTCGTTGTGCTCCAAGGAACGCCATTCCCGAACTTCATCCAGACGTTGGGACGCACGCTCTCCTGGAGCCACGAGTTCCGTTGTAGTCACTATTACTTGTAGTCGGTATAGTTAATTATGCAGGTTTGGTGCTTACGACTAAAGCTATATATATATATATATAAATAAATAAATATATATATATATATATAGACTACGGACCTCCCAAACCCTATACCATACGCCGAAGATGAAGACTTCAGGAGCAACTCTTCGAGCGGGACCGAGCTGTTTCCTCTTGCGCCTGTGGCTGGTGGTCTGGGTTCACAGGTTTAAGGTTCAGGGTCTTATCAGGTGTATGCATAGCCCACGTGCAAAAAGGGTCTAATCAAGCCTGGACCCAAATGTTATAAACACCCGCTCCCCAATCCGTCTCATCACATCCTCATCCCAAACCCTACGAGCTTTTGCGAAAGCGCCTAGAAAAATGCAAACAGTCAGGTGGGTTTGGAGGAGGCCTTCTAGCATGCTGATGCAGCTCAAACGTCTGTCTTTATTTCGAAGCCATCAAGTGTTCACAAGAGATTCTTCGCTCGGAAGCACTCAGGTGTCAGCTTGTTGGCCTTGGTTTACGATGACTACAACCTGTTCGTGAAGCCGCAGCTGAGCCTTTGCTACAAAGCATGACTTGCTCTTGGACTGTTTGGGGTTTATAGGGTTTAGGTTGGGTACTGCCCCCAGTCAGTAACAGTTGGATAATATTTCTATTATGGATATATCAGGCCCTTAATAGTAGCCCTGTTATAGACTGTTACTGTATGGGGGCAGTACCCTAAGTTTAGGGTTCTTGGATCCAGATCTGCGGCCAGTCCCAGGGAGTCCCCTTGCTTCCTAAAGCTTCACCGAAGGCCCCGAGGATGCCAACTATTCTCGCATCTTCCGTTTCCTTGAACAGCTGTACACTGTAGCCGAAAAGAGGCCGATGAGGTATGCCTTTATGTATTCTTTCCAGGCATGATGCAATTTCATTCAGAATGACATAATTGTCACAAGCAGCAACGGCAGCAAAATCAGGTTGGCTCCGGTGGAGGTCACCACGCCTGGCCAGTGGAAGCACCTGAGGGAGCTGGTAACCTGGGTGCACCTTGCCTGAAGCTGCATGCGGGGGTTGGGGGACGATGGGGTGATGATCGTGATGGTGCTGTGTTCTTGTATGAAGCGTGGACTTCGAACTTCCGCTGGAACCCCTCAGTAGGCCGTGACGGTCGGTCGCAGCGTGTTTTTAGCTTCGAATCAATATAGCCCAACCAACCATCGCGTGTCGTCTCGTCACGACACGGCATGCAATGTGAACCGGGACTTCGAGCGAACAAAACACCGCAGAAACGCAGGCGACAATAAGGGCATGTTATGGGTCTGCTTTGCTTCGACAATGCTTATCGTTCTGTCGCTCGTATTGCGCTCATAAAGGAAAGCAAAGTCACTGAGGCAAGGTAGCTACAAAAACCCTATTCTAATCCCCGTTGTTAGTGTTTTCGTTATTATAACTGATGGCTAGTATTGTGACTAGTACTGAGTTATCCTTAGTTGGTATTTTTGTTATTGTTATTCTTGTCATTTGCCAGGAAGCCCACGCCAGAACAGCTACAAGCCGTTCTCGTGCTGTTGGCGATCAGGGGACTCGGCAACTCGGCCGAGAGAGGGAGCATCAGAAAAGAAGGGGCGATTTTGGGCTAAGGGCTTAGTGGTTTTGTGTTTAGGGGTTTAGGCGCTGATGGGTTCAGGGCTTGGGGAGTTTGTGTTACGGGGTTTGGGGGTTTAGGCAAGAGTATGAACCATCCAAGCGAGAGGCACACCGCAATGCTGGCTTTAGGCATTTAGGGTTCAGGGTTTAAATGAAGGCCTGCGTGGAGACTTTTAAATGAACGAAGAAGATCCTCATCTTCATTCTGAGGAGCCTTTTTGAAGGGACACTTGTTCGACTTTAAGGAATGAAGAGCGGGGTATCATCGATTTACGTGAGAGGGGTGGAGTTACAGGCCTGTGTTAGATTCTGGCTGTAGGTCTACATAGGAGTATGCAGGGTTCAACGTTGAGGATTCGCGTTTGTTAAGGGTTTGGGGCGCAGAAATGTGCTGTGTTTGGGGCGAGAGTCGTGGGTTTCCGGCAGCTCAGGAAAGTCTACCGTTCTCATGAACCAGATCAGATCCAGCCACGGGCGACCGGAGCAGGTAGTGTTGTACTTGATCAAGCGCCTGGGCTTAGGGTGTTGGGTGAGGGGTTTGCAGTTGCAAAAGGGTTTGGGTTCATGGGTTCAGGGTTGCGTACCAGGAGCCCAAATCCGTGCAGGAGTCCGCGGGCAATCACGACCAAGCTAAGGAAGGCGCAGAATGTGGTCCCGTCGACACGAGGCCTGAGCGAGAAGGCCTTGGGCTTCATCGAGACACTTGGCGGCGCAGAGGGGGCACCCGTAGCAGTCAGGGCAGTAGGGGTGAATATGATTTTTTTTTCGAATGATAGTGTAGCAAGTGGACTATAATTACGGCTTACTAAGAATGCTCGGTATTGCTATACGCAGTTTCTGTGGGCTCAGAGTCTACTACGGCGACCTACTGGGGATTACTTGGTATGTTTGCCACAGGTTTTGAAGGGTCAGGCTAGACTGTTACATTAAATCTTCAATTTTAAAATTCATCAAGAATGTTCGCGAGTAAGCGCCCAGCTGTGTGTAGCGTAAGTTTTGGCATATCCTCTTGTCGTTCGACCGATTGGCTGACCCTGATTGATTCTGTTGCTATGGGGGGACTTGAATAAGTTTTTAAAATCATTCCTTCATAGATAATTGAACTATATGTGTACCTCCAACATTTTTTCTGAGGTTATTCTCATTCGTATGCCCGTCTATGAGCCATCTGCATATTTGCGAGACACAGGGTTTCCCGTGACTGGAGATTATCTTCCAGTGTCGTTTTGATTACGAAGGCACATTTGTGATTGAAACCACATACAGGACAGCCTTGCTCGACCGGCAAATAACATGAACTCAGCTGTTGGCATGCTATTCGTGTGCTCGAAGTCGCAATGCAGCCTGAGGAACACCCTGTTGCTCCACGAGGTTTTCAACCTTGCGCAGATGCTTCAAGGTGAAAATGTCCCAGCGTCCTGGCTTTGAGGATACGATGTATTGTATTTGAGGATACGATGTATTGTAATATAATATTGTGAACAAGCTCTGTTTCTAATTGCCAGGGATGTCCCAAGCAGTTAGTGGAGTATTGGTGCCGTGCGCTTCATCGCCTTCGCAAGCCCACCCCATGCCTTCTTTGAGAAATGTCATAGACAGCAGTCTATGTGTGTATATATATACACACACAGTCTATACACATATACATACATACATACATACATACATACCTACATACATACCTACATACATACCTACATACATACATACATACATACATACATACAAACAAACCAACAAACATATCATGTCTACTTGTCCATGTAAATGTGTATGTATACATGTTTACAGTATACGTGTGTATATATATATATATATATGTGCGTAAATACACAGTCTCGAACATCCAGCCCTGGCAAGGCAAACGTTGCGCAGCTTCAGGAACGTACACGCGAGTTGGGCGAAGAGGTGGGGCAGCCCTTTGTGTTGCTCTTTGTCCGTCGCAACGGAGTGTGCTCGACCGAAGAAGGCTTTCCCAAAACATCGAGGGAGTGGGTCGAGCTGGGCAGCAAGGGGAGCAGTCTCCCTTATGAGCAAAAATCTACCGGAGGGTAAAAGTTAGACACGTGTCTCCCAGTCTCCGCAGGGCAGTCCCGAACCCTGAAGCTGAAGCAAGTGGTCTCCACTATCTGTGGCTCTGCCATCTTCGCCTCGATACCCCAAAACCCCTGAACCCTAGACCCTAAACCCTCGTTCATTTGGTTTCTTTTCCCCGCGAATGACAGCTGCTTGATTGACCTGTAGCATCGTGGAGATCGAACTATGCGGAGCCTTGCCGGCCTTGTGCGAGTTTGAGAGTCGAAACCCTCGTTCTAATGGCTTGACAGGCAGAAAAGAGGTCCAACAAAAACTAAACCCTAAAACCCCTGAAGCTCTCTGAGCAGGTCTTTCATTTCTACGTCCTCTTCCTCATCGGCTTTATGAGCCGCTTCCCCTTTTCCTTTACGACGGGGATACGGAGCATGGCAACCTAATTCCACAAGCATGATGCATTCGATCTCAGACTGATAGTGCTGTGCTTTAGAAATATTGGTTCGTTGTCGGAGCATCTAACTTTGTTCGACATGTTTGATGGGGTCGCAGGGCATTACTTGGAATATCCCTCCTTGCTACCAGCACTTCTAGTGATACCATCCCTTCTACCGACACGTAGTGAGGATGACGGTGAGGATGTCAACTTTGATTGTGGCTATGGTACTGCCGACGCTGATGCTGATGATGCCGATGGTGATGGTGACACCCTCAGCCGTATTGTGAGCTACTTCGCTTCTTAATATACTTTCACCACCTGCGATTCCGAGACAGTGGGCAGCAAGAACTGACAGCCGGCAACAAGCTGTGAGATCGCAGTACAGACTCCAGAATCAAATTCTAGGACTGTAGGGTTCTTGTCTTGATGTAAGGAAGTGATGAAACCGCCCAGAATGCATCGACTTTGTGCTCTGGCCCAGGTGGCTTGGGCGGAGGGCACGGCTCAAAGTTCTTGCACTCCCGTCATGCCCAGAACTTCATCGCCAGCATGCACCTGGTTTTGATAAGTTACAGGTACTGGGAACTCTGTGTGTGTGTGGTGTGTGTGGGTGTGTGGGTGGGGGTGTGGGGGTGTGGGGGTGTGGGGGTGTGGGGGTGTGGGTGTGGGTGTGGGTGTGCGGGTCTGAACGTGAGCGCGCGCGCGTGCGCGTGCGCGTGCGCTTGCATGTCTCTGAGTCTCTTGGTCTATGCGGCTGTGCTTCTCTGCGTCTCCGTGTCTCCCTGTCTCGGTGTACAGCGCCGCAGCTGACACACGCGCACAGCTGAGCTTCGACTATTGCATCTTTGCATAGGGTCTGAGACTTGAGCTGGATCCCGGTGCATGCTGCGCAGCATGGTGACGTCCGAGGTCTAAGCTGCAAAAGAGGCTGTGGAGCTTGCGCCGGAACCCGCCCCTTGCCTGGAAGGGCAGGTAGCCGGACACCAGCAAGAAGATCACAACGCCACAGCCTTAATTCGACACATGTCGACACCCAACACTCCTTCTGCTCCTTCACGTCACGTCAGGTGAGGCATGCACTCCACAGGTCACAAGACCTTCCATAGTTTCCCTCAAACACCTGGGACGGCAAGACAGCTATGCGAGGGACAACTAGGAAAAGGAAGTGGCCTCCGGGGCCGCATAGAGCAGTGTCCCCACGACGGTATGGGCCTCTGCACGCCGCTATAGGGATCACCTAGATTTTTGGATTTTAGATTTGGCATCATGAATGACTGGGTCGACCGGTGCCTTCAGCGAGTCGTCTGCGATCTTGGCCGCCCCAAAGTCCAAGAGCTGCACAATTCGACAAAGCACTCCGCAGATGCATCCCCTTGATTTTCTGTCCCCTGTGTGCGTTGTGCACGGAATTTGGTAGATCGAGCGTGTTGACATGCCTCAGCTTGAGTTGTGCACCGGAGGGTGTCGGGTTCTCAGAACAAGACAGTGCTGCCCAATCCATGACGGAGTTTGTCCACAGCAAGTTCTGGGTGCTGGTAGCATCTGGCAACCATTTGCAGTCTGATACCTGCCCGTGCTGCTGGGCTCGCTGCGCAATGCTGTAGAGCTGTCGCAGATGCATTGGCGTTGGGGTAAAATTTCGCGCATCTTGGCACAGGCGGCGCATCTCTTCGAGAAGAGGAGTGCTGGTGCCGTGTAATGTCAAAAAATTGGAGTGGACGTCCCCCACCAGGGGGGGTTTTGCGACCAAGGCCGGCAGCTTCAGTAAATTGACGTGAGGGGGCGGAAACCATTGCCGATCCAGCTCATTGCAGAACCGTGGTATATTCCAGGCGGTTGTGACATCTTCTGACACTGGAACATGGCTTTTTACATGCCTGTTCCAGCTGACGCGCTGCCATACTCCTTTGCCAACGCCGAACGTGTACCGGGAGCATGATTACACGCTCTCGCCTCCCACGCGACACAATCGACACCTCGGAGAATACAAAAATGAACGAGGTATCTCATGAGAACCCAAGGAGCAAAACAAAAGTTCGCTGTCGCAGATCCTCATCGCCACACCCATCCAAAAATGCCCGTGTACCTGGCTGATCTTCACATCGCGCTTTTCTTGGATGACCTTGCTGGGTCCTGAAGTTTTCAAGTCCCACAGCTACAAGACATTGCCGTTCTGTCCTTGACTCTGGGGCTTTGATCAGCAAACCATACAGGCTTAGGTTTACAGTCCTTAGAAGAGCATCAACAGTATATATGTTATATGGAGGCAAGCTGAATAAATCGACACCCCCTCACAGTGCAGCTCGAGCTGCTAAGGCGGACGAATTTTACATGGCTCCAACTTGCCCCGAACAAGAAAGCGGATTAACGTGAATGCTTTTTGCGCCCGGAGTCAGATCCAAGTGGCTCATGGCGCGGGAATGCAGCAGTCTTTTTGCATGAACGTGTCTCTGTGCACACGCGGAAAGATCCACGTGTGCTCGCGACATGCGAAGGCAACAGTCTTATCGATGAACATGTCTCTTTGCGCACGGAGTGAGATCCATGCAAGTGTGCAAGCATGCTCACGGCGCGCGAACGCAGTAGACTTCTAAGTTTTGCATGTGAGCATGTCTCTTTGCGCACGGAGAAACATCCAACGCATGAACCGAAACTTGAACTTGATGAACCCACACCATGAACATCAAACTCGGTGATCTCAGGTGTTTGCCCAAAACTGACATTCATGGCATTTGGGCTTGAGATAGAATGTCGCGTTACCGAGCCACCTCTCCTTGCGCTGATCTGCAACGGGGGCCTTGAAGTTACGCGACTTTTCAACAAAGAACTTTGAGCCTTCTCAGCCATACCTTGAGGTCTGAATGGCACTTCTGTGGGACTTGGTCCCATGCGTCAGCAGAGCATATAGTCACAAGAAGGGTGTTAGTATGTATGGAAGCAGGTTAAAAAGTACAGGTTCGCGACCCACAACCCCGCTGTGGTTGCTCCGTGACGAGAAGGGGAAAAAACGGGGTTTTGCCGTCACGAGTTGGTTCAGCCACTTCGATGAGAGACAGTGAAGCTTCTGAAGCAGCTAACTTACTTCCCGCTTCCAGGTTGTGTGACATAGATTGTAACAGATGCAAGTGAACAATCCTAAGGAAAGAGAGAACGAAACCAACGAGAAGCGCAACTGGAAATGTACTGCAAGTTCGATGAGCCACCACGAATGTCTCATGATGTCACTGGCTTGACATTTAGACATGATGGCTTGCGCACAGACGGCAGACTGTGTGCCTGCAAGGTCGTGGCAAATTGATCTCGAAAACGAAAGTTTTCCTCGCGCTGTAGCCGCTTAGTCGCTTGCGAGCTCGGCTTGGAAGGGAGATGGCAAATCTTTGAGGGTGCAGGGTCAGAGGACGGGACTGGCTTGATGTCCCGGTGCATCAAGCCTGCGCGGCTCAAGGACAGCGAAACGAAGCCGGGGCGCGCGCGCGCGCTCTTGCGAGGGCTCTGCCACGCTGGTGAACGGCTGCAACGGCCGAAAGCATCATCCTCTCGTTGAAACGGAACAAAAACACAGACTACCTCTCTCTCTCTCTCTCGTGTTCGCTCCGGCTCTCAGTGAGCAGGCTCTCTAACTCGGCTCTGCGCGTCGCCGCGCCTGGAGAGGCTCTTGACGTCTTGCAACTTCAGGTGCCCCACACCCTCACGCGCTCCGAGGGTATTGCTGCACGTACAAAGTTCGCTTCTGAAATGCGCGCAGATTGCGACTGGTGTGCTAAAGCTCAACGTGCCTCCAAGTGCTCCGCCAGATCCGGTCCGAGACACCGACTCATCACCACGTACCTGCTGACGTGCGGTATGTACGATCTGTTTTTGTCGATACGGATCGCCAAGGCTAGTACAAAGAATCGTTGCTTTGAAGAAATTGGTGGTATCGGACGATGTTCGGATGCTGCACTGAAGCAATGCGCCTTGGCCACACATGCTGTTCTGAAATGATACAACGAACCTGCCGATAAATTGAAAAAAACAGCCCAAGCTTCCTGAGAAGCTGGAGTTTCTCTTCATTCGGCAGCTTCGAGGCCTGTCTGGAACGCCACTCACTTACATCACCATACCTTCGTGGTTCAAGCACTTGGCTCGCGCAGCGTGGCGCCCGGTCGTGGCTACGACCTTCACCTTGGCCAGTGCACAGAATTCGGCGCCGCGGACACGGCTCTGGCCAGAGCTGCGCTTTTGGCTCCTCAAGCTCTCGGCGCAGAGGTCGTCTGCTCGGAAGGGCCGGCAGCAGTAGACCTGCACATGGCCACACGATGCCAAACACGCCCAGGGTTTTCGAGGCTTCAGGCGAAGCCTTCCCGAAGGTGCCGTGCCCAATCAGCTCACCGATCTGAAAAAATGCCTTCCGAAGTTCTAACACAGCGACGTTGACTAAACATTTTCGAAAGTTGTAAGTACCGGCTCCTTCTGGAACTCTTACATTTTTCCAATGAATGAATTTTCGTTGATAAGCCTCCGACTATGGAGACTGCAAGCTACATGCTGGTGCTCAAGCTGGTACAGAAACGACGCCCTTCTCACGTATAAATACATATCAATTGCGGATCGCGCTGGCAGCAGCTGACACCTCACTTTTGCGCCAACTCGCACAGAACAATCGTTTGTGAATTCCTCTGAGTGCTGCGCTCTGCTTAACAGTGCAAGCAGGCCTAGGCATCCCTTGGCGGGCGAACATGTGCACACCTCTGGGCCGACTTCGGAAGCAGCCGCTGCAGCCGTTGAGTTCCCCAGCCTCCGCTGCAACTTGCTGTCGTCGTTGTGCAGTAAGTCGTCGTCTCTGCTCCTCGTCCTTCTTGGAAGCCCGCTGTCGTTGCCTCTCCGCCTCTATCCAGCGCACATGGGCCCCGGGTTGCCGAACTGTTTCCCTCAGCAGTGCTACTTCGATAGCTAGACTGTTGTCTGAGCTCGTCGAAAAGGCGTCCTTGCTGAGGTAGTCAAAGACACAACGGGCGCCAGTCACGTACACCCGCTCCCGTTTCTGCACAGCCTCCGTCCAGCGCTTCAGGTCGATGTCGCCATGCAGAGCTTCTTCAAGTAGCACGGCCAGCCAATCGCCGTCCTCAACTGCCTCCGCCATGTGGCTGGCCTCTGCAGCCAAAGTGCTCCTGCAAACGCGCTGGTAACGCCGGAGTGGTAGGCCAGGATATTGGCCCACACCGTCTTCCCTTCGAGGATGCCCTTGTTGGCGAGCAGCAGGAAGTAGCCGCCAACGCAGCGAAATCGCATGGTTTCGTTCTGGCCGGAGTCGGCAAGGTGCACTAGAATTCCGTCTCGCAGGGAAACGTCACGCCAAAACCTTGGGCGCATATCGGCGCCTCGTCTGGCCCGGCCCACAAACTGCTTCAACTTCACCCACAACGGTCTCGTGGAAGGCGAAGCCCGGACCTAAGGTGCACCGTGTTGTCACAGGTGCATGCATCCATTCTTGAAGGCGAGGTCGCAGCACAAGTGCCAAGTGATCCATCCCAACTCGGCTACTGCTACTGACTTCAGCAGGATCTCCATCTCGGGGATGGTGAGCTACTGGTCCAGTTGCGCTCCTTGTCGATCTTCGCCGTCTTCATCGAGACGGCGTATAGTTCGTCATGGACACGTGCACGTTTGACCCTCATCATTCTGTTTCACCTCCCTGCCTCGGAAGAAGAAGTCTCGGACGTGGTTCTTGAACGCTTTCTCCAGGTAGCCATCAGCCACGCCGCCCTCAATGTCGTCGATATGGGTGAAACGGATACCCCGAAGTTTGGACTCGACCCTCAGGTAGAAGTCCACGTCGTCGTTCCCCACCGGCACGTCGGCCGCTGAAGAGCTCGGCCGTTGTAAGGTCCTCCGTTTCCGCTCTCGTTCGTCCCAGCGTTCACCTTCCCGTCTGTTGAAGAACTTTTCTTAAACGTCGTGCTCGCGCTGCATTTCGCTCAGACTCCTCTCTTGCTGAAGACGACGATGTGGCTCCAGGTTCTCGAGGTGGTAGAGGCTGGGTCTTGCTGTCGGGGGCCTCAAAGTCTGCTGGCTCAGGCGCCTGCAGCTTCGTGCCGCAGGCCGCGCAGGGGCGGCGTCGATCAGGCTCTCCTCCTCGCCGACCACATTCCATGGACGAACCTCCCTCCTACTTCTGCTCGCTTTGGTGAGGCTGCCAGAACTATTCCACGGTGGGACAACCACACTGTCCTCAAGCATCCGTGCCCGATGACTCAAGCCACTTTCTAGAAACTTTCTGGCCAGCAGGCCAGCAGGTCCGGCCGCGCTTGGCGCCGGTGGAGTCGTAGAAAACGAAGGCGCCCACAGCGAATGGTCCATGCGTGGGTCGCACATGTCCTGGCTCAAATCGCCAACAAGTGGAGGCTCGAAGGCTGCGGCTCGTGGTCCAGTGCACCAACTCGGTCCACTTCATCATCGTTGGCCAAATCGGCTGGTAGTCGAAGCTGCCGACCAATGACACACTGGTTTGGCGTAAACCCGCCACGGCGCGCGAGGGAGCTCTTGGCCTGGTTGACCAAGGCGGCAGCGAGCAGCGTGTCGTTGTAGCCGGCGAGCTGGTCTGACCAAACCATGCGCTTCATCGTATCCTTCCAAAGCCTACCGCGTCTTTCGATTTGGCCCGAGGCGTCGAAGCAACATCCATTGGCAGACATCTCCTCTGCGAACTCGGCCACGAAATACGGTCGGTCACCACGCCGCGTCGCGGGTAAGCCAGTGTGTCGAAAACGCTGCTAAGACTTCGGCCCCGGCGGGATTAGCGCGTGTGTTGCCGAGCAGAGCGCAAACTTGAATCACTGTGCCTTGGCAGAATAAGTTCAGTTCAGCCGACTCAGGGGGCGTTGTCGGCATCGGTCGTCTGCAGAATGTCCAAACCAACCTGAACATTGAACTCCTCGGCCACAGGTAGCTTGCTGCCCTGCTCAAATGTATCGCCCGAAGCATTGTGGCGGTTGAAGCGTGCCCCAAGTTCACATGGACTCATTGTTTGAGCTCACGTGGCAGGGGCTGCCACCTTCGCCTCCAGGTCTGCACCTGCTGGCGAGATCTTGGACAATTCTTCCCAGCCACTCTCGAGCACAGCGCCGTCCCGGAGCAACATAAAAGATGTCCTGACGGGCACGTCCTGTGGCCTGTGGCCCGGCATCGGCGTTTCGGCTCCGAGCCGAGGAGCCGGCAGCGCCAGCCGAAAGTGGAGAACCGCAAGAAGAACCACGGCAGTGGGCTGAACCTGATCCACAACAAGTTCAACAAGCATGGCACGACGCGGTGTCGTCGTGAGCGTGTTCGGCACCTATGCAGCGAGGCTTTGGACCCCCAAGCGACAGGAGTTGCCCGGGTTACTAGAATTACTAGAACAGACCGAGGAGCATGCGCAGCAGCAATCGACCAGGGACTGGGCCAACATAGGACTCGAGTCGGAACTTGGTCCGCAGTCAGCAGGCAGATGTGAAGCTCGTCTTGGCATCGACCCGGGCGAGAAGGTCTCTCCAGTCCAACCGAAGTCCATAGCCATAGCCTCTGCTTCTCGCCTGGTGCGTGCCATCCTTTATACGAACATGATCGCGCGGCCGCCCGGCAAGATGTCATCCAAAAGGAAGGGCGGACTGGGAGCGAGCGTCGCTGAAAACAGACACCGTCGAGGCACACGGCGGAGGCGGTTCAATCTGCCGTCGGGCTCCCGAACCCGTCCAACTGCACCTCGAAATGCTCCATCTCAACGTCGCTGCCCGGGCCGTCCTCTGCATCAAGGCGTTCACGGCTGCTGAGCCATTCGGTCCTCTGCTGAACAGGCCGCCGGCCTTGAGTGCCCCACAAACCGTAAGCGCGAAGGCGTTGAGCAACTTTCCCTCCAAAGTTTCGGGTCACCTTTGCCGCCAAAGCTGACGACACTGCTTGGGCTCTCGGTTGGGAGCCTGGGCTGGCGATCAAGGAGTATCGCCCGCTCCGACGTTGGCACGATGGCACCGACAAAGGTCTGCAAGGATCCTGGTCAGGCGGTTCTCAATCTCCCAGTCTCGGCCGGCGTCGCGGCCGCTTTTCCTCAATGTGTTCCACAAGTACTCGTCGACAGTGACGGCAAGGAGGTAGGGCCGGTGCTCCGCGAGCACTTTCCGGGCAGCGCCAGCGAACAGCTCGTTCCCATCAACGCCGGCCAGTGCAGAGCTGTTGGTCAACGCTTGCGCTCGTGTGCTTGACGGAGGGCAACTCGGGAGCGGCGGTCCCGCTTAAGTTCTGCAGCCCGGTCCGGCATCAAACCCGTCTTGTCCTCGGATTCCTCATCAGGCACTGACCTAATGAAAGGCCTCCGGAACCGGAAGCTTGGCTGCTCCTCGTCTTCTTCCCACGGGGCGTCGTGCTGGGCCAGGAGCTTCGAAATAATATACGTCCCGCCGTTCTTCCTGCGGCTTGCGGCTGGCGAAGAGGGCGCTGCTGACATAGTCGCGGGCGTTGGCCGCTATCCTCCTTTGGCGGGGGTCGTCCCAGCCGTATACTGCACGAACTTGGCGGCGCACCCCTTCTTGGCAACGGCGGCCCCTGTTAAGAAGTCCTGAAGTCTGTAATTAGGGTCCACCGGTCGCATTCATTTTGAAGCTCGCGCAGCGCCATGCTCGGCAGGTTGCGGGGGGTCACCTCGGCGAAGTCGTTCACGTAGCGGCGGTCGATGTTGCGCTTAACATACTCGACCTCCTCTTTGGCAAGGCCGGGCTCGAGACCGGTGCGCCAAGGCGCCTCTGTCCTGCTCCATGTGCTGCTCGTCGTTCTCCACGTCGGGGTCGGCCGACAGCATGTGGCAGTAGCCCTGGTCGTCGTTGTCGGCGTCCAGGGAGAAGAACAGCGGGGCGCTGGTGCCGACGAGGTAGGCCTTTCCCGTCTTGCCACCGCCCTTGACAGGGCTGGGCGAACCACCACGGCCTCCTTTACGAGGTCCCTTTCCTGCGCCAGGGCATTCTTGATCTCCAGACCAGTGCCCGAAACGCCCGCACGTACCGCATCTCGTTCGGCTCTTCTCCTTGGCGATGGCGGCCTTGCGGTCGGCAGCGGTCTTCTCATCCGCGGGGCCTTTGTAGAAGCCGCGGCTTGTCTGGAATTCAAGCAGCTTCTTTCGGCTGTCCTTCTAGCTCCTGTGCTGCCTGCAGTAGGCCTCTTAAGCCGGCCTGGGCTGTCCTCTTCGGCGCCGGCGTCCTCTGTAGCGCCGGCGTCCTCCGGGTACTCATTCTCGCCCTCCTCGTCGATGATGGTGCCGTCGGGGGAGTCGTCGACCGAGTGCGCCTACCCGCCTTTCCTGCCATATTTCTTGGGAGGCCGGCGGTGCGGGCTGTGGTTCTTCAAGCTCCGCTCGCACTCGTGACCCTCAGAGCTTTCTCGATGCCGCCCATGGTGTAGTCGCTCTGGTTGGCCAGCAATATGCCTCGGCGCTCCTCCTTTCCCAAGTTCACCTGCTGGAGGAGGTGGACGTCGCCCTTTCTTGCGGTAGCATCTTTCAAGAACTGGTCAAAGGCCGCCGCCGTCTTCTTAATCACCCCAACTTTCTCGATGCTCTGCAGGGCGGCAAAGACGTACTTGTACCCGGTTGGCTCGCGAAGCATCTGGTGGTCCGTAAGCAGGTCCCCGCAAGCTTTCCAAGCCTCACCATGGAGAGCGTCCATGAACTTCTTGCCAAAACGCTGCTGTTTTTTAAGCAGATCCTTCTTTTCCTTTTCTTCATCATCGCCGGAGCCTGTCGAACTGCCGTAGGCAAAAAGCAGCATCTCCCGGCACTCTTTCATCAAGTGGGGTGTGTGTGGGTGAATTCCTCTGAGTGTTGCGCTCTGCTCAACAGTGCAAGCAGGCCTAGGCATCCCTTGGCGGGCGAACATGTGCACACCTCTGGGCCGACTTCGCAAGCAGCCGGCAGGTGATCACAGGAAAGCACATGCTCAGACCAACTCAAGCAGTAGACGAAGGGCTGGCTTCACATCAACATAAATATGAAGGAATGTAGATAGATAGATATATAGATAGCTAGGTAGCTAGCTAGCTAGCTAGCTAGCTAGCTAGATAAATAGATAGATAGAT